AACTAAATACATTGAATAATAAAAAAAATTAGGTATATGATATGATTAATAAGAAATATTAAATAAATTCGTTGAGGAACCAAGATAATTTTTTTCCAAAGGTCATTGCTGTAATACTTACAATGCACCTGGCCTCCGGAGTAGTGGGTGTATATCGGACGGGTTTGGGTGGGTTAGGGTGGGAAAATAAATATCTCGACCGGATTTCGGGTATGGAAATCAAGTGCCAAGTTTTGGATTTCGGATTGCTTCGGTTTGAGTTGGTCGGGTTTCAGGTTGAGATCGGTCGGGTTTGGGTTTAACTATAATGTGTGTGTGTGTATATATATATATAATACTAATAAATAAGTAATTTTGGGGACACGTGTCATATTTCTGTAAGACGGTTATTGATTTTTCCCGCCTAAACATGTATCTACACACAATTTTCACTTACGGCCCCCAGACTTACAACATAACTCTGGAAAAATTCACGTCTGAATTTAACTCTGGAGTGGTCATCAAAACCGGGTTTAAAATTTCAAATTCGGATTTTTAAAGCATTTTTTACAAAACAATATTACCCGGGAAAAAAATTTAGAAGAACATGTACTCTTAGTACTTAATTAATTAATACTAATGTGAATTTAATTAATTTATATAGTTATTAAAATAATATTAATACCTTATTAATTAATAATAATATAAAGTTAATTAATTTATATACATGCATATCTATAATACTAATAAATAAGTAATTTTGGGGACACATGTTTGTGTGCGACGGTTATTGATTTTTTCTGCCTAAATATGTAACTACACATAATTTTCACTTACGGCCCCCAGACTTACAACATAACTCTGGAAAAATTCACGTCTGAATTTAACTCTGGAGTGGTCATCAAAACTGGGTTTAAAATTTCAAATTCAGATTTTTGAAGCATTTTTCACAAAGCAATATTACCCGGGGAAAATTTTTAGAAGAACATGTACTCTTGATGAATTAAGAGTATGTAGTCGAGTTGAATCTCATATGAATTAAGTTATATATATATATATATACACATAATACATAAGTAACTTTTGGGACACGTGTCATGTTTCTGTGCGATGGTTATTGATTTTTCCTGCCTAAACATGTATCTAGACACGATTTTCACTTACGGTTCAAATAGGTCTATTTAAATGACATGTGTCCCTTCGGACGGTTAATTTTCAACGGTTATTGATTTCCCCCTTCTAAGCATGTATCTAGACACAATTTTCACTTACGGTTCAAATAGGTCTATTTAAGTGACATGTGTCCCTTCGGACGGTTAATTTCACGTATTCGTGGTATAACCGCGTTCGCAGAGTAATTGACGGTTTAAAGTTCCAAAATCTGGAGTCCTCCTTTCCAGATTTAGAGACCCGTCTAACGATTTCGCCTCCAGACTTAGAAGTAGGTGCCTAAACTAATCTTCTCCTAGAGTAAGAGCTCTGTCTCTTGATGTCTTTTGCATGAGAGTTCTTGGTCCAGCCCGCTTCAAAAGACTAATTCATAAAGACTACAGTAAGAGACTTCTTACTTACACTTTTACAAGATGTGGTATAACAATCTTCCCCTAAGTGTAAATAAGACAGACTCTTACTTTAATGAAAACACGAGTCAAATCGAGGCTCTGCATGTACTATGCAGAAGCTCAGTGTCTGGAGTGAAGCTGTGCATCAAACACTTAATCTTTTTGACGTTTAAGTCTTGATCTTCCTTGGAATACAACACAGACTTTGTATATAAGACACTTAACTCTTGATATCTTCTGCATGAGAGCTCTGGAAAAATTTAGAGCTGTAAGTTTTAATTTAACTCTAGAGTGGTCATCAAAACCCTATTTAACATTTCAAATTTGGATTTTTGAAGCATTTTTTTCACAAAGCATTTTTCAAATTCGACCCCAGCCAGTGGTTGCCGCCCCTTGGACCCCGCCACTGGAGGCGCTGCCCCCGGACCCTCGTCGTTTAAAGGTTTCGCCCCTAAATCAAAATAAACTCAAACTAATATGCACTCCACACCTTCCTTACATGTCAGATATTTATTATGATTACATTGGTCAACAATTTAATCCCATTACTCTTAAATAATATTAGTGATACAAATCACCAACATGAAGTCATCAGATATTGGTTATTTCTCAGACTTACAACATAATTCTGAATTATTCTGTTATAGACTTAGTTCCATAATTTATTCCCAGACTTAGAATACAACTCTGAACTCCTCTTCAGAGTTGAAGTTCAGAGTTACGTTTATGAGTTATAAGAAGTTAGAATTATTGTGACTCAAAGTTATGCTCATAGATACTTTATAGACTTAGAAGATAACTATGAATTCCTCTTATTCAAAGTTAAATCCAGAGTTATTTTTCAGCCTAATAATAAAACTTTGAATCCTTTTCAACCTAAAAAAAAGTCTTAACTTATTTTTCTCATTTAAAATACCCAGTGTAATACACGGACGAAACCTAATATGTATATATAAGCGTATCATGAAGCAAAAGGAAAAAGAAAGGAGATATGAAAGTCGGTTACGTTTGATTGACTACATATTTTTCTAGAAAAGTGGCAACTTTGCTGTTTTCTTACTGGATTCAAAATACCAGCACCCCGTCCACTCTCTCTCTCTCCAATATTAGATATACACGAAATCTGCAGCTTCTTTCTCTCTCTCTCTCTCTCTCTCTCTTAGATTGGATCTCCAAGTATATAGATACAAAAAAATCTCTCTTATACCCTATAGATCGGCCACACCAAATGAGGAATGAAGAGATTGAGAGCTCCGATGACAACGACTTACCATCCTCCGCTCCACGAGTCGGTCGTAAATACGGCCCCGTCGTTGCACACGACAATGATCCCGTCGTGCTTGAGATGTCCTCTTTCGATCACGGATCTTCGTCTAATTCTTTAAAGTTAGTCACTTTTACTCTTTCTTTTTGAAGGCCCATTTAATTGCTCTACTTGTTATTATCAATTATACGCTACATGGAGACATCAAACATGAGAAAACTAGAAATGTTTCGAAGATATATAGCAAATTCAAGTTCTATAACCAATTCTCTCTTGGATTAGTAGCTACCTCTGTACTTTTGCTTTCATGTGTTGCAAAATGTACTAATTTCCGCTGACAGATTTGCACTTGCCCTAGACCAATTGTTAAGCAACAATTTTATTTTGTAATGCCATTATACACTATTGCTTTATATTCCTAGTAATTAGGGTTTAATTTGTTAAACCTAACACTCTGAGTGAATCGTGTTTCTAATGACCTACCTAAATCTATCAGTTTGTTATACTTACTATAAGGTTCATTATAGCTATCGATTTTTGTCTGTAAATAGTTTTAATTGATAACAATATACTTGAAAAATAGCCCATATGATTTTTTGAGGTTAAAATGCAGGTCTTCCTTTGGGACTGAAAGGAGTAGTATTCAAGTGCCGTGATATTGTAATAGATTGTAACATAGGTAATGGTAGCATATAGTAATGAAAAACACAGATAGATTCATCGCCATACGCTACACTTCAACTGAGTATCTGGTATAGGTTTATGCCCAACATGGATAAGGGAGAAACTCCATGAAAGAAAGATTAATGATTCATATAAATGTGATTATGCCGTGTATTGATCAAATAATCTGAAACCCCAAGTTACAATGTAGAAGAATAACTATGTATTACCTATTCCCATTTACATCATCGATTGGTGGATCCTCTACCACACACCCTCTGGCCTCTTTAGGGAGAGTTTCCTATCAAGTGTGCAATTCTATAGTAGGTATTATCTTTGGAATGGAATAAAAAGGTATGTTAAGGTAAGCTTTTCTTGTTGTAAAACATCTTGGGCTTTTTGGTTTGCCACTTTGGCTACCTATGTTGTTTAATTGTTTTTTGTCATACAAGTGCATTCATTATCTACGCTGTGTTCATGAGTTTGGAAACACTTTGAGAATAGCTTTTAAGATTCAGATTGTTGAAACAAATGTTTTATCTTTTTATGCTGGTTCCAATATTGAAAATGAGAATTAAAGGTATGTTCGTTATACCCTTCATGACTCGTTTAGGAATAACCAATTCATGGGGCTTCTCAAGCTAATTTATGGTTGTTCAAAGATCCTTTCATGCATTATGTTTGTAGCTTGTATGAATCACTATTGGTTTGATACCAATAATGGAAATCCACGAGAAGCGACTGGATTGTATTGTATGCACTTAGACCTTAGTGGGTTTGGAAAATGTGTTATGAGGGTGGTATGCCATAAATATTTTGAGGAAGAGTTGAGTATGTTGAACAATCAAGAGGAAACATAAGTTAGAGTTCGGCACAATACCTCTAGTAGCCTCTCTGTCTGGTGGGACAGAGATAAGGTCTGCATTCGTCTTATCCTCCACACCCAACCTTCAGATGGGATATGCTGGGTCTGCTTGGTTTGGTTTCTGTATCTGTTTGTGGCTCTATTCTAAGGTGTGGATGAACAAAAACAAAAGCCAAAGAAAGAAAATAAAATATTAGAAACACTATTGCACCATTACTTGCAGTTTACCTTGAGCCTTGACTTTTCTGTGCGGTGTGGAAGAATAAGAACAGGAAGCAGAGGAAGGAAATAAAATATAAGGAGCAATAACCCGCCAGTCTTTACGATTTACCTTGGACCTTGTGTTTCCTCTTTGGTGGTAAGTAACCTTGGTATGTGGTATAATCAACAACTTGACAGTTGAGACGAGAGAGAGAGTAACTAAATGCTTGGAACAGTTGGCGTTCAATTTGACAGCAAGAAGTCTTTCTTTGGTGTAGGGCCGTAGGTGGAATTCCTAGTCTGTAAGCTGACAGTTGGTGGCAACTGGTAACAGTACGAGCTGTATGGAGAGAAGAATAAAACAATGAGGAACAAGCCAGAATTGTTTTCTTAACATTCCCGTTTAGTCGAGGAGTTGGGCTAAGAGAAATACACTTATTAATACTAATCTAAACCAAACACACGTACCCGCTATATTCCACTCTGAAGGAGGATTGGCGGGATTTGAATAATATTAATCTACCTTTATGGTACCAAACATGAAGTATACAACTAATTATTTACAGAATGTGATAGCTACACCTCCATTTATTTTCTTTTAGGCTTGCAGCAAAATCAATAAATTTGTACTTCCCCATGCACCTACTCAAGGATAGAGGCCCAGTCTCCCAAACAAAAAGAAAATACAGTCTTCCCTGTTTAATTCCGTTGCTTGTCAAGCTCATGAGCATCATATTGGCTTTTTCTATGTCTTTGATGGTTGTATTTGCAGTGCTATCAAATATGCTATAATCTCCAATTCAAGTTGAAGGACCCAGCTTATAATGCTAACCAGCACAAATTTTTGGCGACCTTTAAAGAGAAGAAAAATATGTATATGCATACACGTGCATGCGCACACACACACACACAAATATTGTATCGATTTGCCATTTCTGAAAGCAGTTTGTTCTCTTGGAATTTGAGTGACTTTTATCTACATTTTTTAGATCTCTCAAGTTTCCCCTAGTAATATCTCTCTCTCACTTGTCTTTATTAGGTTCTCCATCAAAATTTCGGTTAAATTATCCACCTAATTTTCATTTGTTTTCTGCTTTTATCATAACAAGTTAACAACCATCCACCTGAGCTTTTGTTCGTGGACAATTGTAAATTATGCAAAAAGGTTGACCTGGGGGAGGATGAGGGGTAGACTTGTCCTGCCTCCTGCTTTTCTTTTAGCTTTCTTCAAAGTTTTGCACTTCTCATTGTATTGGTCTGTTCTTTTTAACAGAACAAACTGTTATCATCTGTATAATATGACATCTGGTCAATCAAGAAGCTCCTATTGAACTTTTCTTCTATCAGAAATATAAATGATTATGAAGCACAATATCTTTTCTACAAACCACTAAGACTTTTAACACAATAACATGCTGTGGGATATCAAAATTTCAACTCCATATCTGCTGCTGATATCTTGAAAACTGATTTATATGTGCCAGCAAAGTAAAAACAACTTTTCAGCCAAATGCGGGTGCAGGTGCAAGAGAAGAGTCGATTCCAAATGATCGAGGTGTCAATGGTGAACACAAAGAATCCAAATTGGAACTATTTGGTTTTGACTCTCTTGTTAACATTCTTGGTCTCAAGAGGTAAATATTGCTGCTTCTTTTGTTTTTTGGTATGAACAAGAACAAGCCTTTTATTCCAAACTAAATTGGGGCAGGCTAAACATGAAATCCACAAGAAGATGTAATTGTTGACACCAATAAATGTTATGTACATGTCAGCCCACTAGGGTTCTCGACATGAGTCACATTCTTTTGCGCTCTTCCATGTAATGGCAACCCCTTGGTTTGTTCTCCATGATAGTTTCTTCCCCATTCTGTTTGTCATTTTTATTGAACTTGCATTCTCTTGGTTGTTTGCACACTCTTTTCAAAATCTCTAAAACATTCATTTCTTTGACAAATTTTATGTTTCTCCAAGACTTTTCAAAACTTTTTCACAAGCCGCGGGTCTTCATGGAAACCTACCCCTTGGGGTAGATGCAATGTTTGCGTACATCCTACCCCCTAGACTCCATTTCGAGCGAGATATAAGGGGTATTTTTGGTTTGGTTTGGTTTACTCTTTTTGGTTTTGTTTTCTCCTGGAGGGAGGAAGCTGAGACAAACTCATTTGAAGGGGAATGCACCATTGTTTATTGTTACCTCTTTATCTACTTCCCAATCTTGGTATTGTAAGGGTAACATTGGTGTTTTAATTGCTTCTACTCATCTTCTGTATGATCCTTTGTAGTTGTAAGTTACAGAGTGATGCTTGACTTTACTGTTTCAGTATGACAGGAGAGCCGATCCCTGTACCTACGAGTCCTAGAGGCCATGAAGATAGTTCTATTGCTGCACAACATCCAACGGTACTTCATATTTACAAAAAAAAAATCCTATTTCTAGTGAATTCATTGCTTTGCTATATTTCTTTTTAAAATGCTGCAAGGAAACTTGCATAGATTTTAGTAAATAACCATGAGAAAACAAATTGATCAAAAGTAAGTTCGTTCAATATAACTGTTTCGGCTTTACCCTTTAAGCAATGAGTTTTGAGAAGGATGTGTCGACCCATTTACTTCATGATGACTTCCATACTCAAATTTCCGCATCTCCAAGGAAGACTATACCGTATATGTGGTTGTGGAAAGTGAAGGTACTCAGATAAACATATTAAATAAACCTTGATTTGGCAAGGGAATATTTGAACAAGACAACCTTGCATTATATATATTTTTACTTGTTTATGTTTTTTTCCTTGCATTCTTTTTCCTGTTAAATTCTCGTCTTAAAGGAAAAGCAGGCATCCCTCTTAGGCGTATTTGAGTTACTATTGGGAATTTCTTTTTGCTTGAATAAATTTCTATTGGGAAAATTGCATCAAAATGGAACCAACTTTGGGTTGATTCCTATTTTTGGGGGTTCAACTTTGAAAAATATCATTTTAGGCCTGAAGCAAACTTCTCATTTATTTAAGGGCCTCAATTACCTGATTACCTCCTAACTAGGGGTGCTCATGGGTTGGGTGGATCGGGTTGAAGACATTTGAACAACCCAGCCCAATGTTTGCGGTTTGAAAAATCTTAACCCAACCCAACCCAAACCAAAGTGCAACCCAACCCAACCCAAACCATACGGGTTGGTCGGGTTGATACTTTGGTACATTAAAATATTCTTCTAACCTTGAATTTGTTATTTCTCAACTCATAATTTCTTTTTCATCATCAACCATTTGATACAACTTATCCATACTTCTTACATATATCACATTTAGTTAATTTTTTCAATTTACATATATATGTTTACAGTTACTGAACATATATACGAATGAGTTATATAGAGATGTGAAGAGATTGAAAATATGTGTATATGAAGAGCGTACATAATAGTGTAATTGTCTAATGTATATATTAATAGCAATTCAACAATCATATTAAATCCAAGAAATAAAAGGATATCGGGTTCGTCGGGTTGGGTTGGGTTCAAATAATAGTAACCCAATATCAACCCAATACGTACGGTTTGAAAATTGTACAACTCGATTAGACATTGGGTTGCTTCGGGTTGAGTTATTTCACGTTGGGTTGGGTTGATCGGGTTTTTGAGCACCCCTACTCCTAAAGATGACATGGTTCAAGTAAATTGTCAACTAAGATTCCATGTCATATTTAAAAAAAAATTAAATCCAAAATAATGACATGACACTCATAATTATAACATGTCAGATTTATTTTGATCACTAAAATAACTCCACTAAAATAAAAATGTATTTTCACACTTAGACCCATTATCTTTAAAATAAAAATTAAAACCATTTATAGGGAAAGGTCCTCTCAATGCTCTAACGTCCACACCGGATATGGACTCATCGCATGGGAGAAGGCTCTCCAAGCTTCGATTTGGAGGGTTGGGTCAAGAACAAATCATGTACATCATCATCAACATAAACATAAGAACATCAAGAACCCTAATCTAACAGTAAATCAAAATCCTAAACCTAACATAAAAAACAAGTTTGTATATATTTATTCCAAAAATTTGTAATACAAGACTAAATCAAACCTAGAACCCTAAAATCAAAACCATTATTAACCCTATATCCAGTGCAGATGCAGATAGAAACCCAGAAGAAAAAAAACCATAAATCTCTTGCTGAAGCGAAACAGATGCATAAAAAAACCCATGAGAGATCTCCATTGATGTCTGGAAGGCAAGGGCGAGTCTAGCTTTCCTGTTCTTTTTGGCCTCCCATGGTGAAATCGGAAGAGGGCAGGGAGAGGATGAATTGAGCTTTCCTGTTATCTCTTCTGGCTTTTCATGGTTCATGGGTTCAAAAGAAAAAACAGTGGGAGAAAGTTTGAATGGGTGTGATATTGTTTGTTTGAATGGGTATGAGACTGGAAAAGATGATGAAACCCACATGGGATGGGTTGGATTTGATGAAATACATCCCTGTTGGGAGAGGGATGAGAGAGAAGGTGAAGAGGGGGATCAGGTTAGGGTTTTTATATTTAATTTTGATTTAAAGTGAAGTGCATATTTTTAATAAGTGATGTGGAGCGTAATTTTGTAAATGAGTGACGTGGATATTTTAATATCCACATAAGCTTTTGTTTTTTTTATGACACATCATTTAAAGGTAACCAGTTACCTTCTGAATAGGTAATCGAGACCCTTGAATATGTGAAAAGTTTGCTACAGACCCTAAAATGATAATTTTGGAAGTTTATTCCCCAAAATAGGACTCAGCTCAAAGTTGGTTCCATTTTGATGCAATTTTGCCATTTCTATTTGACATTGTGAAGGTTTCATACTCTAAGCACAGCCTGCATCAACTCTGTAATTTTTTTGCTGACATGACTGCACAATATATGCCAACTAATGCTTTTTTCATGTTCTTCCTAAATTTCGTAATGCAGACTAGCAGTGTTGTCAAATCCGGGACGTTGATGGGAGTCTTTATCCCATGCTTGCAGAACATATTGGGTATTATCTACTACATCAGATTTTCCTGGTACGTCTCTTCTGTTTGTGGCTTATGCGTACTGTAACTGTTAATATGGTTCAAAGGTGCACAAGAAGCTTCATTGTAAGTTTTCTATAGTTCTATAGTGTATAGTAAGATTCAGATGCACTAATTGGGTTTAAGTAGAGATTATGTTGTTTGTTTTGAAGTCACCACTCACTAATTGGTATTCATGCGTGCTGATGATTATTTAGGTATACTGTTTTTAGGAAGGTAGTTATGTGGTGGAGGTAAATATATCTATGATCTGTTTTTCTTTTTTCTTTTCGGGTGAAGGCATCTTCAACTGTCCTGCATAATATCTTTAATGGTAAGGGATGTAATCTACTCATTTCATCATGAAAAAAAGATGTGAGTACTGAGTAGAATCCTCTGCCTGGTTTTTATTCACAACGTATATACAAATCATCAGTGCTTCTTTTTTCTATATTCTTCATTTTTGTTCAGATCTTCCTTGACCATGTGTGCAGGGCTTCTTACCATACTAAGAATTGAAATGCAGGATTGTTGGCATGGCTGGCATAGGTGGGTCCCTAGCAGTAGTTGCGTTGTGTGGATTGTGTACTTTCTTGACTGCAGTATCATTGAGTGCAATTGCAACTAATGGTGCAATGAAGGTGGAGACTTATTACTTTCTGCTTTCCTTGTTGCCTATTGTCTGAATTTGCATAGCCTTCTGTAAGTACCAGCATTAAGGGATGTGCAATATGCATTATTATGGCAATTGTTTTCTCCACGCTGTTCATGAAATATAGCTTCTTCAAATATGTATAATCATATTTAATTAGCATGAAATTTATACTGGTCTTTACTGTTTGATCTATTCATCTCTAGGGCGGGGGGCCTTACTATCTCATTGGTCGTGCTTTGGGCCCTGAAGTTGGAGTCAGCATTGGACTATGTTTCTTTCTAGGGAATGCTGTTGCTGGATCTATGTGAGTATATTGTGAATTTATACTTCCGAGTTCTTGTGGTTGAGGAGTTCCAGGGTGTTGCTCACTTTAATTGTTTTTTTGTCTACAATTAACACATATATGTATGTATATGCTATTTGTAGGTATGTCTTGGGAGCGGTGGAGACATTTTTGAATGCTGTGCCAAAGGCTGGACTTTTCAGAGGTAAATAATATTAATTATTTTGTAAATTAGGCAGTTCATGCTGCATGTGAAATTTTCTGCCTTTTTCTTTTTTCATCTGATGATAGTTATAGAAGGTACAAATATAATTTGGCAAGCAGATGTTATTGTGTTCCATGTTTATTGAGCAGAGACTATCACAGAAGTAAATGGCACAGCAATAGCGGAACCTATAACAAGTCCAAGTTTGCATGACCTGCAAGTGTATGGGATTATCGTTACTATCATTTTAGTCTTTATAGTTTTTGGAGGTGTAAAAATGATCAACAAGGTTGCACCAGCCTTTCTTATACCTGTTCTATTTTCGCTGCTCTGCATATTCATTGGGATATTTGTGGCAGGGAAAGATCGTCCAGCAGGTATGGCTTCATTGCAATCCTCCAGCTTATGTCTTCCATGTGAAATAAAACTGACCATCTTTTTCACAATGTTTACTAGTTGGAGTTACTGGCTTGAGTTTGAGATCTTTCAAGGACAATTGGAGTTCTGATTATCAAACAACAAACAATGCTGGGATACCTGATCCCAATGGAGAGATATACTGGCATTTTAAGTAAGTTATGGAAGCACCAGCTCCTACAATAATTGATATGCATTCTAATAACTCTTTTCTTGGATGTAAAATTTAATATGGGGTCTCTATCCTTTGCTATCATCAACAACGAAACAACCTGTCTTAAATTATTTTGGGCAGGCAGATAAAGATAAAGATGGTGATGATGATATTTAGATGGTAAAAAGATGATCATAATGAGAAAGTAAAAGAACCACTATGTGGTGCATGAGGTGCTCACTGCTAAAAGTTTGTGTGCCTATCTCCCTATGCAATCTCATCTAATTTCCTTGATCATCAATGCCTAGGAAAGCATGAGCCCAATGGTTGTTTTGATGCCATGGAGGCTGCCTGCTTCAGTCACCTTTCAACACTTGCATACAAAATGCTAACAGATTTTTTGTATGCAACAAGAGATCCTAGTGGATAATAGGCTCACAAACAGCGTACGAGCTCATAGTAGTATAGTTGTCAACAACGGGTCAACAAGCTACTAAGATCTCATTAACCTCCACTTTAGTTTGTTGATTCTTTTTTTTTTCTCTTCTATTATGGGCAATCTTCTTAATTTTGTTTGTTTTAATTTACGACCTTTATATTGGGAAATTAAGTGTAACTAGGGGTGGAGATGGATGTTAAAAGGATAGGTTACACTCATTCCATATCCACAATTGAATAGCATATTGGTTATCTCACTTCTCATCCTCATCTGATGGATGTTCAGAAGAGACATTTGAATCATATTTGAATGAGGTTAAACGGACTCAGATATATTCTAATGCTGCAGAAACTTTGCCACCCTCGAAAAATGAGTCTATTAAAGGTTGGAACACTGGCAAATTTTGGAGAAGCTAGGGGCTTATTGGAGGAAGGCACAGTGATGTTTATGTTAGGGAAGTGCTTTACAGAGGATAGTATGTGCGTATGTATTCTGAATGAGAAAGTGCATACATTTTTTTGGGTTTTATAGGTGGTATGTGAGGAAGTATGGAGAGTAGGACTCTCGTTTATTTTGAAAGAGTTCGTGTTAGGATGGAATTCTTCTGCTCTAAGCTTTAATGCTTGTGAATGTGGAGCTTCCGTGCTTGGAATCTCCTGGCTTAGTGACTTCATAGTTCTTGTGATGTACCTCTGGGTGAGACTTTAAGGTCCTCATGGCACTAGGTTGTCTCCTTTGGGTGGGGCCTGTTGACCCATCTCTGGGAGTGTGGTTCAAGGGGTCTATCCATCGGACGAGGTCCATCAACCTGTCTCTAGTTGCAACCATGCACATCATATCTGTATCTGTTTCTAATTATACAAATATTTAAATTTCATTGCATTTGAATATCCATATCCTTCTGTTTAACAATCAAGGAAAATTTTCAGAGAAGAACATGATAAAGAATAATGATGACACTTCATATTCCACTGAACTTTCAAATAAAAGGCTAAATAAATGAAGTATCGACTGAACTTATAGTGGTTAAAATATTTATACAATATGGGATATAGATGATTAAATATGTAAATGAGAGTTATCCACCGGATATTCATTCAGAGCAGATATTAGACTGATAGGTTATACATTTACCATATGCACATGCTTTTACCATCGAGGTATATCCTCGAATAATGAACTATGCATGTTTAAAATGATAAGGATAATTTTCCTTGTTGACAAATAAAAATGTAAACGAAAAATCGGATCTTCAAAGATCCTTCATTAACTCTTAAATGTGGCTACTCAAAATAGGTCAGAAGGCTTGTGCAATCGACTAATATTCCCATGAAATCAGATGCATCATCCTGTCCTCCTACAGATTGTTAGTACCAAGTTAGTTACACCCTCCATTCCAAAAAATTGAAATGCATTTTGACTTTTAAGGTCACACATCCTTTCTTTATAAGAAGATGTTTGTTTTGTCACAAATTTGTTACTCCAAAATCTAATGTTAATAGGAATTTTATTTTGAAATTGAAGAATCCATATCAATATTGAAGTTGATAATGAGTTCGACTAACCTCTAAAGTCGATATATATATATATATATATATATATATATATATATATTAGGAGCGTAGTATGTATAACAACTTTCTATTATTTGGTTAGGAAATAGCTGATATATCAATATGGCAATAATGTATTCATTTCCTGAATCTTCAAAAAGTTCCATGTCAGCAGCTTGTATCATAGGCTCATAGCTGCCTCTCGCGTTAAAATGGAGGCTTGACATGATTGTAATTTTTATTTTGTTGTTATGGTGCCAATTTCATTTGCCAAGTTGGTAAAACTTTTGGTGTCTCTCATCCTACGGTTTGAAGCCTGTATAATACAGACCTATGTTTTAGCAATTATATGTGATCCATGACTTCTAACAGGTAATTTTCCACTGTTCAGTGCATTAGTAGGTATTTTCTTCCCTGCTGTAACGGGAATTATGGCTGGTTCAAATCGCTCTGCTTCGTTGAAAGACACTCAGCGCTCTATTCCTATTGGGACATTGGCCGCAACACTAACAACTACTGCCTTGTACTTCATTTCTGCGTTCCTTTTAGGATCTGTAGCTACAAGGGAGAAGCTTTTTACAGACAGGTAACTTTTCTATGCACTTGATCATACTTCTCATCTCATTGAGAAAACTTGGTTTCTTTTTCTATTTTAGAAGACATTACTGTCTCGTAAGTTTTCTTTATTGTGACCACAAAATAGCTGTGATGGTTTTAACTCTCTTTTAAGAAGTTTTCTCATGTATTTTTTTGGTCAAACTTTAGTGAAAAAATATGAATGGTTCCTAGATTTTGTAATTTCAAGATTTTTTTTCTATTGCACTAGAAACCTTCTGCCATCACCAGAATAAAGTTAATCTTTGCTATATGATTGACATAGATCTTGTTACTAGTATAGCCAAAGATTGATGTATACTTGCTACATAATGGGAATTCTATATTCACCTCCAAACTGAAGTTTGATGTTGGAGCCTTAACACAGTGGAAGAAGGACCAGTGTCAACCCTTGTTTGATTTCATTTTTGACAGTAATGTAAAATTGCACGTTGGATTGAATGATATCTTTTGCCGAATACAACAAAGGTTACTTGGATCTCCAACAAGGCAATGACATTTGAGGAGTCTCATTTTTTTAATGCTGAAGGATGACTTCCACAAAAGTACATCATTTTACTTCTGAAAATATTCAAATAAAATAACCTGCAAGTGCTGATTCTACTATGACAAACCGGTAATATAATGCATTAGACACCCGCGAACTGTATATGTATTTGCCAACAGTTGAAAACGATGCTTGATAGAATTCAGATTGACCTTAGGCCTTGTCTTAAAGCGGTTCACATGCCACCCGTCTTGGTAGATCCTATCCTATCTCTTCTTTACTTTAAGTGACAAGGGGGTGGCAAGCTTTTATATGCATGGGGATGACGATATATTGATTGCACGAGTCGACCTCCTAATGAGTATTGAGGTCCAATTTTGATCTTGACATGTCGGGGACGAGAGAACCAAGGAGAGAGGCGGTGGGGGTCCTGAGCTAAGCCTTGGCCAAACCTTGGAACACCAATAGCCGGATGTCCGCTTCTACGGCATAAGCTTTAGCAAAGTGTTCATTTTCTTTTTCGCCAGGTTTCATTCTCTTTCTTTACTAATTCTGAGACATTGGGCAATTTACTTTATACATACTATTCCGGCACCTCGCAGTGCTTACATCTCACCTATTCGAAGTTCTGTTCAAAAACCTCAATCAGTTGAAGGAGGTTTATACAGGAAGAGTTGCGACTCACTGACGAGCTTTCTCGTGAGGTCTTTCTTCTTGGGAAGAATCTTTTTCAAGACTTTATCTCCTATGTTGACCTTCCCCGTTCCTAGCTTACTCACTATTGAAGCTTGTACGCAGGGGAACTTGAGTCTAAGCAGAACCTTCCCAGAACAGAAAAAATTACCCTTATCTTCTTTGAAAACACAGAAACTGGATATAAAGTTTCAACAAATATGGCCTCCTTACCAAAGGGCCTTTGGCCTATCGGTATCAAGTAACCCAACCTTCCTAGAGGTCAAAGGTTCCAACCTCACCAAAGGTGGGAAGTGTACGTGAGTTTCATTTGCCATATATAAATATTGACTTCAAAAAAATATGGCCTCATTCGGAGTATAGGGGAACTACTTCTTTTGTTGTTCATGTTTTAGGATGTTCGTGATCTAGCACAGTGAAATAATCAAACCTGGATCTACACTTGTGGAGTGCTAGAACTTGACATATAGACACTGACTAGATGAGTTGCTTTCGTCCACCTTCTCTATCCTATCTACTGCCAGCTCTTTAGTTATATTCCCCATCAGTTGCATATCTTTTCCCTGCCTCACAGTTTGATTTAAAGATAATCTGGTATGCCTTGAATATGTTTTCTGTCAGCATACCTTGAATATGTTCGTGTTCATGTTTTCCCCCATGTGCACAAGGCTCAAGGTTTTTTTTGGATGTTTTTAAATAAGATATTCAGAGTTGCTTTCATATTTAGAAAAGCTTACAGTTATAGATCTGTTTTCTGTCATTGTAAAAAGATGCTTAGAAACACATCAATTTAAGACATTAAGCAGCAGCAACTTTATCCAATCGCAATAACTGAACTTCTCTTGCAGATTACTGACTGCGACCATTGCATGGCCGTCGTCAGCAATCATATACATAGGAATCATTCTTTCAACTTTGGGTGCTGCTCTACAGAGTCTGACTGGTGCCCCGCGTCTGCTTGCAGCGATAGCCAATGATGACATTCTACCTGTTCTTAACTACTTCAAGGTTGCAGATGGCAGTGAACCCCATATTGCAACCTTCTTCACGGCATTCCTCTGTATTGCGTGTGTCCTAATTGGGAATCTTGATCTCATCTCCCCAACCATAACCATGTTTTATCTGCTGTGTTATGCGGGTGTGAACTTATCCTGCTTTCTTCTGGATCTCTTAGATGCTCCTAGCTGGCGTCCTCGGTGGAAATTTCATCATTGGAGCCTCTCTCTTCTTGGAGCATCTCTTTGTATTGGTATGCTACCAGGATCTATACAACCTATATGGTTTCTTTTCTCTTTATTTTATTTGAGTGTGTTCTTTGTACTTTTGAGTGATTGCGTTTACAGTATTTACATCAGTGGTTGAAGTTTGCTGCAGCTATCTGATACTATGAGAAGTTGTTAGGCTATGTTCATTATAAGGTTTGGTTATGGTCAATCAATTTTCATGGGATGCTTATGGAAGTATCCTTCCCTCAAATAATTTTAGAAAAACATTTTCAAACATTCAGTCCCTTGACCAACCGAGAAGTATCACATGTTTGGTGTATCGAGAACAAGAATAGGTTGAAAATTTCTACTCAATTGCTAAGTATTGGTTTTTGTATAGAAATGAAAAGCATGCAAGTATTATTAGCAAACCCTTTGTAAGAAATATTGATATCTAAAAATACACATCTCAAGAACAGATTTTGGGTCCTCTGATCAAGTTTCTTTTATAGAGATCAATAATGAGATGGATAAAGCAGATGGGAATTTCTAGACTTATGGCTACTGTGTTGATTCTTTTAGTGATATCATATCTTGTATCCTTAGAGTCTACATCTCTCTGGTACACCCTATCAAAAGCTTGATACGAGATTAAGCTTCCGAATGAAGAAACTTAAATTCTGTTAAATAGTGTAGGCAAGGATAGATTTCATCCCAAATATGTTTGCACCTTTATATATGCTTATTGTGTCGATTATGTACAGTTTTCATTATATGTGTTTGCAGTATGTATTTGTATATCATTTTAATGTTCTAATCATTTGGTTTACTTGCAGTAATCATGTTTTTGATTTCTTGGTCATTCACTGTGGTGTCCCTTGCTCTTGCTAGCCTCATATACTATTATGTGAGCATCAAGGGAAAAGCCGGGGACTGGGGAGATGGTTTCAAGAGTGCATATTTTCAACTTGCTCTTCGCAGTCTTCGATCTTTGGGAGGTGAGTTCTATAGGAGTAGCTGTATTCAGTTTAGTTCTAAGATTGGCCATCAGGATCTAGAGCCCTTATTTTTTCCTTGCTGTTTTTAAAAAGCATCTTCATTTATAAAAGTTCTACAATAATAAGAACTTAAGCTTCCTCCTACCTGTATTTATAATCGTATATGGTTATATTTCCTTCATTTGACTTGGTGTCATGTTGAGGATCATGTTAAGTGCACAATGAGAGATTTCTCCGAAGAGGATCCGTTGTTTGTTATAGGTGAATACTGGCAAAGATTTTACAAGTCTTGCACATGATTGTTCATCTAGAATCTTAATAGGCATGCATCTCGTGCTGTGGTAGTTCATTGGATCGTAGAATTTGGTCAATCTCCTTGTTGATAGTGAGCGTCAGATGTTGAAAACTTTTGAGCAATTTCCTGCACACAGGGTATACCATTTTATTTTACTCTGTCCCAAATAAGAATCCTCTTTGCAATTTAAAAATTGACATCAATATAAATTAAGTGTTCCCAAAGTATCCTATCTTTTTTAAAGGTTGGACAAGTCATTTTGTTACTTTGTGTTTGACCATGTGTAAAAATTGTCCAAGATGGATTCGGACCCATGCTGTGAGATTCTGACTCGAACTGAAGGCCCTACCAAGCTGCAGCATGCCCCAAATTTTAAAGCTGCGCTTCTTTTCTTTTTTCTTTTGTGCAGAGTGATCGCTTATTAACATAAACTGTAGCCTGACTGTACTTTCAAAAGCTGTGAAAATTTTCAGTCGTCCCTCTGTTGCGCTGTTCTTAATGCAACTCAACCTGATAATATCCAATCAGACATTATCTGATGCATTGCTGTTGGGGTTTGGTGTACTTACAGAAAATGAGAAACATGGATCCACTTTTCATTCACATTAGTGAGTTTTGGTGGATCTGAAGTCCAATATTCAGTTTGTTTGTGGAACATTGCACAATGCGTCTTTAAGTACATCTATTCCTGATGATAGTAAAAGGCTCTTTATTTCTTCTGAATCAGCGTGGTTTTTTGCTCATCAACTTTTTGTTTTGCAGCTAGCAATGTTCATCCAAAGAACTGGTATCCGATCCCCCTCATTTTCTGCCGGCCATGGGGCAAGTTACCAGAGAACGTACCCTGTCATCCAAAACTTGCTGATTTTGCGAATTGCATGAAGAAAAAGGGCAGGGGTATGTCCATATTTGTGGACATCCTAGATGGAGACTACCATGATTGTGCAGAGGATGCCAAAATTGCTTGCAAGAATCTTGCTACGTACATCGAGTACAAGCGCTGTGAAGGGGTGGCTGAGATAGTAGTGGCCCCAACCATGTCTGATGGTTTCCGAGGTATTGTCCAAACAATGGGACTTGGTAATCTGAAGCCCAATATTGTGGTGTTGCGTTACCCTGAGATATGGCGGCGTGAAAACTTGACAGAAATCCCAGCCACTTTTGTGGGGATAATCAATGACTGTATTGTTGCTAACAAAGCAGTTGTTATTGTGAAGGGGCTGGATGAATGGCCGAATGAGTATCAGAGACAGTATGGGACCATTGACTTGTACTGGATTGTTAGAGATGGTGGTCTGATGCTGCTTCTATCTCAGCTCCTGCTTACAAAGGAGATGTTTGAAAGCTGTAAGATTCAGGTGTTCTGTATTGCAGAGGAGGATTCTGATGCAGAGGAGCTAAAGGCTGATGTAAGGAAATTCCTTTATGATCTTCGGATGCAAGCGGAAGTGATTGTGATTTCGATGAAGTCGTGGGATGACAAGGACACGCAAGATGACTCTGTGGAGGCGTTCACTGCAGCTCAAGGGCGGATCAAGAATTACTTGTCGGAAATGAAGGAGAGAGGGGAAAGGGAGGGGAAACCGCTAATGGCAGATGGAAAGAATGTGGTGGTGAATGAACAACAAGTGGACAAATTCCTGTATACAACTCTTAAGTTGAACTCGACGATTATGAAGTATTCAAGGATGGCAGCGGTGGTGCTGGTGAGCCTCCCACCTCCGCCGGTGAACCATCCATCGTATTTTTACATGGAATATATGGACTTATTGGTGGAGAACATTCCAAGGCTGCTAATGGTTAGAGGTTATCGGAAAGATGTTGTGACGCTGTTCACGTAGTTTTTGTTTGTAGTTTTTGTTTCTTACCCTTGGGCCTGGCTATATAGAGAGAGTGAGTTAATTAATGGCTTTTGTAGATTGATTCATTCTTTATGCAATTTTGTGGTGTCAAACTTAAAATGTGGTTAGGTTTCTTGTATATGGATGGATTTTACATATAATATCCAAATAATGGTCGTTGCATTAACCAACACAAAGCAAAAGCGTATTTTCCCAAAGTCACTGCCTACTGGTTTTCAGATTTTACATTTTTTGTATAAATATTTCAGTTTGGTGGTATATGACATTTTATTTCATTTATCTTTATGTTAAATTCTCAATTTTAATAATTCACAAAAAAATCACAAAGCTTATTTTAATTTACTATTATTTAATTGTAATATCTTATAATATTTAGTGTATATTAATTCTCTTATATAATAGAATATTGTTTAGTTGTAAGTTAGTAACTTAAATACCTTTTATTTATTTTATTGCACATGAAACATGGTTGTAAGAACAACAAAAGATTATTTTATTTTATAGTAAATTACACTTTCGGTCCACGTAGTTTGTGTGTTTTAACACTCTAAGTTCTTATTTTAAAATATCTATGATTGATTACATCTTTGAGGTTTGCATTTTATAACACGTTGGGCTCCTAAATCTAACTCTCTTATATATATATTTTTTATAAATTTATATTTCGATTATTTCTAGTATAGGGATCAAACATGTAATAAAAACTACAGGAACAAACATGTAATTTACTCTCTATATCTTCTCTCTCTCTCTCTCTCTCTCTCTCTCTCTCTCTCTATATATATATATTAATGTTCTATTTTATTATTTGTCTTTGTCGATGTTATAATAAGGTTTTATTTATGTTTTTGTCGATGTTATTGTTTTTTTTAATATAATTTAATTTAAGTTTAATAACGAAATAATTTATTTTTGGATTAATAATATATACTATCTTATAAAGATAATAATTAAATATTATGCTAAAACTCAATGATTATCCTAATTATATTTTATATTTTTTATATTTAAAATGTGATGTTTATCCTGTATTTGAATATGTTTAAGTTAGTTACACGAATTCAGATACGGAGTTTTAATAAGTTGTACTTACGCACAATATACTTACAATCTTGAGTTTTAAGTGATATGCATTAATAAACAATACTTTACGCATAAAAAGTGGTTTATAAGAGTTTGTGTCAAATGCTTTATAATATAGTATAGATATGTATATATACACATTTAATAATTAATTATTATATTTATCAACTTAGTTTTACAAATTTTCTTATTATGATATTGTATTTTCGTTTTCTCTAATTACAACAATATACTCTCAAGTTGTTTTTATTTTAATTGTTTTTTTCATTTAGACATTATATTTTCAATTTTTCTTATTATAATAATATGCTTTTAAAATGTTTTTATCAAGACATTGTTCTACGAAAGTTTATCCATTATAATAATTGACAACCTTTTGATTTGAATTAAGAAAACATGACATATTTGCCAAAATATCACTCTGATTACGTGATATAAATATAAAAACCTTTCAATGTTTACCAAATAATATCATCAATTTCTCTTTCGATTATTCTTATTTCATTTAGATTATATTTTATGTTCTTTTTGAAGAATATTTTCTAAATCTTTTTACTCTTATTAAATTGTATGGAAAATAAATATTTTAATGTAACATATTTTTTTAACAAATATATATATTTTTCCTTTCAAAAAAACACATACTTTTTAACACTTCTTTCAAAATGTTACCGATGTAAAATGCATTTTACAAAAATTTTAAATATTGTTTTATTAATGAATAATTTAGTTTTTTAAAATAATTTCATCATATTTCCTTCCGATTATTCATATCCCACCTATATTATGTTTTTAATCCCTCTTTCTAAAAAATATTTTAAAAATGTATGAATAATCGCAAGGGAATATGATGAAATTATTTAAAAAACCGATGGTTTTTATTTATTTATGTCACGTAATCAAAATGACGTGTCTTCCACGTTTCACGTGAATGATGACAGGACATAAAAACTTGATAACTTTTATCATGTTAACTTGATTCATATCCAAAAGTTACTTAATGCTATAATGGATAATACAACAATATTTTAACAAAAAAATAATTTTAAAGTTTATTGCTATAAAAAGGAAAATGATAATACAAAATATTAATAAAAAACAACTTGAAAATATATTACTATAATAAAGAAAAATGGAAGTACGGCGACTTAATAAAAAACAGTGTGATAATATATTATTGTAATAAAGAAAAATGAAAGTACGACGACTTAATAAAAAACAACGTGATAATATATTATTGTAATAAAGAAAAATGAAAGTATAATTTCATGATAAAAAGAGTGTGAAACTAAGTTGATAAATTGATATATATATATATATATATATATATAGAGAGAGAGAGAGAGAGAGAGAGAGTTTGTTTCAGATGAAACCTATCACATTTATACAACCAATGCAACCCAATAAATTAAAATATTTATGAAATGATGAGAGTTCATTTATTATGATTTAAATATTTATGGAAGATGAATAAGATTCATTAATTATGATCAATACTTTATATTAGGAAACAATTAAAATTTTTATGAAATTACATATTCATCAAATTAAATGGACGGTTGAAATTGAGTTGTATTGGTTGTACAAATGTAAGAGGTTATAATAACCCACATCTCTATCTCTCTCTCTATATATATATAGTATATATAAAGAGTAAATATGATGTTTGATCCGTATACTTAAAATGACTAAAATCCTCTATAATTGACTTTTATAATAGAAAAAAAAAAAACTAAAAGAGTTAGATTTAGGGATCCAAAGTGATATAAAATGAAACCATATATATTTTAAAATAGGGATCAAAGTGTTAAAACAAACACATAAACCAAAGAGACTAAGAATGTAATATTTTATGAGAGAGAGAGATTAATTTAAATATGAATGGAGTGGGATCGCATTCCAAATTGAAGAGTGGAATATGACATGACGTTTTCCTTTTTAATTCATTTTTTTAATTAATTAACCCAAACCCAAACATTATTTTACATAAAAAGAATATATTATATTTTGGAAAGAAACAAATAAAAAGGGGATAGGATAACAAAAGGATGAGGATAAAACAGACTCTTTTATTTTTATTTTTATTTTTATGAAATAAAATACAAGTGTAAAAGCAAAACAAATTAGTTAAGGGTGTTATGTGAAATTTGAAAAAAAAAATAAAAAATAAAATAAAATGAAAGAAGGTATTTTTACAAGATGAAGAAAGCGGCGACTAATAATAATGAACATGAACTCAACCTGGCTGAATCCATCAGTTTCTACTACTAACCCTTTCTTCTTTTCATCTCCTCCTGTTCCTATTAGAGCTTCACAGATGGCAGCCACCACCACCACCACCAACAAAATCATCGACTCCCATTTGCACGTTTGGGCATCTCCCCAACAGGTTTCAATTCAATCCAATCCAATCCAATCAAATCAAATGTTGGGTTCAAATCTTTCTACTCAAATTCATTCCTTGAATGCAGGCTATGGACAAATACCCTTACTTTCCTGGCCAAGAACCCTCCTTACCTGGTAATTACGATTTCTTGCTACATGTAAGTAACTCCCAATTCATATTAAATTTAATTATATTCCTTCTTAATTGTTTACTTTGTATTTATATATATATATATATATATATATATATATATAGAGAGAGAGAGAGAGAGAGAGAGAGAAAGAGATTATAGAGATTAACAACCCTTTCATCAGTGTATGGAGGACGCAGGCGTAGATGGTGCAGTTATCGTGCAGCCCATTAATCACAAGTTTGATCATTCATATGTAACAAGGTCTCAGTTGACATCATAATTATCCAAATCCATATGCATTCTTAGTTACAGATGATAATTATGTTTGTGGACAGTGTGTTGAAGAAGCACCCATCCAAGTTTGTTGGTTGCTGCCTTGCAAATCCAGCACAAGATGCCACTGGACTCCACCAACTTGAACATCTTATCTTGGAGGTCTTTTTCAGAAATTATTCCCAAACCTACAATATATCTCTTACAATTTCTATTTTATCTTTAGGATGGTTATCGTGCTGTTCGCTTTAATCCCTACTTGTGGCCATCTGGTCAGCTGGTAATTAAACATCCTTAATTTCCTGCTGCTTTTTGTAAATATTACTTACATGATCCATATTTAATTAAGTATATAATATTTTCAGATGACAAATGAAATTGGAAAAGCAATGTTCTGGAAAGCAGGAGAACTGGGAGTGCCTGTTGGGATCATGTGCATGAAAGGTCTTAACTTGCATATCTCAGAAATTGAGAAGCTGTGCACTGAATTTCCCAAGACAACACTAGTGCTTGATCATTTAGGCTTCTGCAAACCTCCTACGTCAGCTCTCTTTCTCCTTCCATCTCCTCTCTTATTCCTCCTTGAACATCATCTCATTTCATTGGCTGTGCTTGTAGAAATGAGGATGAAGACAAAGCTTTGTCACAGCTGTTGGAGCTATCAAGATTTCCACAGGCAAGCAAAGCCTTTATCGGACTTGACTTCCTTGCTGCTAATACTAATACTAATACTAATACTCATGACAACCATCTTTGACAGGTATATGTAAAATTTAGCGGCCTCTTCAGAGTTTCAAGAAACCCATTTCCATATCAAGATTTATGCCCGCTTCTTTCTCAACTGGTCTCTAGCTTTGGTGCCAATCGTCTCATGTGGGGAAGGTACCTAATTCATATTTCCTCTCAATATGTGCTTCATAATGCTAATTAATTAATAATGATATTTTTGACATTTGCAGTGATTTCCCTTTTGTTGTTCAAGAGTGTGGTTACAAGCAAGCAAAAGAAGCCGTATACGTAATTGCCAATCAACTGCCTTTATCATCTTCTGATTTGGAGTGGATCATGGGCAAGACGGCTATGCAGCTTTTCCAAGGACAGTCTTGATTTCATCACTGCTTGTTTTGCATATGCAAAATGCTTTATTAATTAATGTATACTCAACCACTGCACGCATCAATGCATGTCACAACAAGTAACAAGTCTCTCTTTTTCACTCTCTTCCATTCCATATACAACACCACCACTTATTTTTATGTTATGCCTTCCAGGATCTAGCCTGGAGAAATGAATCAAAACTACATCAAGAATACAAAGAAAATGACTCGTTGTTTTTAACTACATCTTCATAACCAAACCCTATGTAACATCACAACAGCTAACTAATAATTAACAAATACATGCACAGCTTAATCTTCTATATGTTGAATCTCACCCATCATTATTCGGTTGCTGGTAACCTTGAAGCCAAGAAGGGCTGGGTCAATTTGCCTCCCCTTTTTCCCTTTCTTCTTCCCATTTTTGCCCTCCAAACCAGAAGCTGTTGCATGACTCTTTCCATTGCTTCTAAGCATCTCACTGAAAGATACATCCGCATCACTACACGATGATGGTCTTCTGAAACGTACCTCCTTGCTGTTTTCACCTCCTCCTGCCTCTCGTCTTCCGCCTAATAATAAAATCCAACACTTGAAAAGACGTCATCATACTTGTATATTAACATGTGAAAGATGACATATGGTCCAAACTTATTAACTAGGAAATTTTTATAAAAGAAAGAATACATATACATGTAACCATGTGAGCCATAGAGTTGATAGCTCCATAAATCTCTTTGTAGAGACCATGGACGATACCCACGAATAAAAACATTGCATTTACCCCTTCAAGTCATGAAAAAACTGCTGGAGCTTTCCAAGCATTGAACTTTTTTTTATCATCAAGACTTTATAATGAAATCATTATCAAGGCTTTCCATGAATTGAGAGACACAAAAACTGCCAATATCGCCCATAAAAAGTATTACCTTTTTACATATTCAAGACATTGAATGACACTTGCCCCCCGAGGATGAGAATTTGCACACAAACACACTAAGAGATCACCCAAGGACACACTTTGATGTGGCATGTCCAACATTTTTAGCTAATAAATCCATAAAAGCCTCGACCCACTCTACAAATTATCCTCCAGGAATATCATCCTCAGTTTTGACTATCTTTTAAATGCAATAAAAACATACTGACAGTACTTATATGTTCATCAAAGTGAGCCAATAAAAATGTCAAAAAATGAATATCAGGATTTTTAGTCAAGCTAATTACAAAAACTGGTTGATACTTCACTAAGATTTGTTATGGTGCTTCCTACTTAATGATTGCCTAGGTCAATGCAAAAGAGATTTAAACAATTGCAGTGTATACCTTCATGGGAGATCATAGTAGGGACATTCCTCCCTCTGACATCTGAATCCAATGCCATCTCAGATAACCCTTCATGTGATGAGGCTGCTCGTGCAACTGCTGGAAGTTTCAGCAAAATATTTTCAGGCCATCTGGAAGTAGCGGTCATCCTGCAAACAAAAGCTAGTGCTAAAAGATATGCTGAAAAACAAATTCTCAACAGTTTTATCTACTCACATATTCCAATAATTGTAGAATAATTTCAGACAAAGTAAAAACAACAACTGCACTTATGATAAGCACAACTCAATATTTAATACTACAACCTCTTTACCCCTAGGGGCACGGGTATGGTCTGCATACATCATACCCTCCCGTACCCTACTTCCAAGTCGCATATACTAGGTACATTTGGTTTAGTTTGGTTTGTTTATACTACAGCAGCAAGATGTCCATTGTTCCAGCCAGCATTAAGAAAAACAGACAAAAACCAATTAAGACACAATGAAGAATCATTTTAACAAGATAAAGGAACATGAAAATTAAGGCTGTAATAGGTTTGGTGTCTGAGATGTGGATTGGGATTTAATTATTTTCCAATGAAGCTTCAGATTGATACTGCTATTTAATTGAAATCCAAGGAGTTTTAAGTACATTTCAATTAAGCTCCAAGTGCATATGAATGGTATGGATTGCTTAACCACTTCCAGGGAAACTCAAATAGAATGACAACACAAATTGATTTTGCAGGTATGCAAAGATCCTATGAAATTTTGGTTCTATTACAAAATTATAACACCGTCGTATAATAAGCTTTAGGGTCTTTAAGACCAATATTCACAAATGATCTTGACATACAAACCCAGATCCTTTTGACATGGAACCACAATGGTCTATCACTGGAAGCATATTGCTTGTGCATATATGAGAACTGAAGAGCAATAAATGATGGCCTCGATGAATATGACAAGTCAAGACACATCAAAGACCATCGTACACCCAACAATATTCAGATCATGGAGGCCACTGGTAAAATGGAATATGTTTGTATTGCTATGCTATGTTCGTATTTATGCAAACAAGTACCTACATGTATATTACATGCATATCAACCATAAACAGTAGCAATAACATAATAGAAGTTTTGAAGTTTCACTTCTGAAAAATCCATTGTCTGAGATGCCTGTGGAATGAATTTCCACCACAAGACTATCATATTACATCTCTTCCAGGCATGAGCGTATTACAAAAATTTAGCATCCTGGTGTACAAGTCCAATATTATAAGTAGTTTTTCTTACCGATCTTTAGCCTCTCCTGAAAAAGAATCGGTGGGTCCAACCTTGTCAACGTATAAGCCAGCATTCCCACCTGGAACCATGTCAGAAACATTAGTCTACATAAAAGAATAATGCTAAAAGGAGGCAAAAAAAGAATATAGAAACTACTACCAAAGCCAGGTGAGTTATGCCTGCCAATAGCATCAATTGACATCCCGCTGTGATCTACAGCAGGAACACCACCCTCTTGAGCCATACTTTCTTGAGCTTCTGCAGCTTGACCCTTCATTATGCTAACTTCATCTTTGTGTGACCTCCTTTTCCCCTCCACATCCAAGAACTCTCTTTCCATAGGCAGCATGCCCTCCATAGAGTTTGTATAAACTGTCTGAGATGATCCATTTACACCAAATAATGGGCTTTCTTCATGCATTGCTCCAGAATTTGATCCAAGGTCCAATCTGTCATTACCTTTCAAGCTAACTATTGTTTCATCCATGGATGCACCTGCATTAGAGCCATAAGATCCAACAACAAATGGGTGGTTCAGTCCTACTTGTTGTTCTGCGAGGTTGAAAGAACGACTTGAAGAGATCGTCCCAGAGTAAGGGCCCGAAGGTATCCCTCTTTCAAATGGAGTTCCATTATTTATATCCAATGGTTCGGTAGGTTGATTGCCTGGTTTCTGGTGTAGTAATTCCATAAGAAATCTTTTTGAAGTGTCATCACTGGTTCCAGCAGACATCCAAAGACGTGGATCTTCCGAGGTCCTTCTCGCTTCCATATCTCTTTTCTGCCTCTCGTTATTAATATGCAAATGCTGAATCCTCGACTCCATCCAGCCATTTGATATATGCCCATTGTTCTCAGACCAGGGTCCCTCCATCACATCCAAATGTGATGGACGAACATTACTTGGGGCTAAAGGATGCTGAGATTGATGAGGGAAGACACTTGAAGGAAACCGGCCTACTTGATTAGCATGGTGTAACTGAGCATTTGAATCCTGTATATCTATGTTCTGAGCTCGAGCTAAGGAATTTGTAACATCAATGTTCATTCCTGGACCACCACCAGGCATAGACAATGACCTTTCATACGGTAGCAAGTTAGTCATAAAGGCCACGCTGAAGCCGTTCCTGAACTGAAAGGTTCTGTTCAATACGACTCAAATCCTCGGGAGATGGTCTCTGTTGCTGCTGATAAAAATCTAAAGGATTGAGTCCAACAGAATTAACTCGGTGAAGACCAACATTATTTCTAAGAAGCTGACTGGTTTCATCTACAGGCCAGGTAGAACCAAGCTGCATTTCTTCCTCCATTTCAACCCTCTGCCTCAACCCCATAGGCAATTGCCTCCCATGAAACTGATCATGCTGAAGCATCTGATGTTCTAAAGATGGCACCTGTCCATGCCTAGCACGCACCATCAGGTCCATGAGATCATTTGGGTGCCCTTGATGAGGCGAGTGACCATATTTTGCTTGAATCAGATGCTCTATTGATGGATCAACATGTCTTTGCTGATGCTGCGAATGCTGTTGCAGTTCACTTAAAATTTGATGCTTCAGAAGAATTTGATCAAGCGCATTATTGGATCTCACAACATCATTATGCAACCTGCCACGACCATCTTGCATCTGATTTTGTACCAGTTGTTCAAGAAGCATCTGCTGTCGAGACTGCTGCTCCTTGAGTAGCATTTGTTGTTGGTGGAACTGCTGTGGATGCAATTGAAGCGGTTGTTGAAGTTGAATGTGCCTCTGCTGCTGTTGCAACTGAAGTGCCAAAAAGTGTTCAAGATCTTGCCCAGTTTGACCGGCTAACTGTTGATTTTGACCTGGAAGTTGATCGAGTACAGGTTCATTCAAATGGGAAGCAGATAACAGATTATGCTGCTGGAGTAGCTGCTGTTGAATGTGTTGAGCCCTAAGTTTCTCTGCTAAATCAAAGTGATTGGCCTCTTGATCCATATGCAATGACTGGCCAGCATCAAAGGCATCTTGATACAAGTTGCTTTCAGAATGTGCGTTTCTTCTGTAAACAGCAGCATGAGTAGAATCAGCCATTGCATCCAAAGAAGCAGCCCCTCCACAACCAGCATTCATAAGTTGCCGCTGAATACCACCAGTAAAAGGTGTCTTAGATGGTAAATTTTTCCTTAAGCTAGATCCATCAAGCTCAGACCACAACAACCCAAATGGATGCAACTTATTATCATTCTGGCTTCGTGTGCCAGGTTCAGTGAAGTCAGTTGGAACCGTGTGGTTGTTCACAAAATTTCCAGAAGGCACGCCTCTTAAAGCTTTCCCAATAACGTCATGACTGCTACCAGGTCTTCCTGGGAACACAATTTCTGCAAGGGAAGAAGAGAAGAGATAATGGAATGAAAACATTACGATGTGATCAAATAGAAGGCTTAATTAGAAAAACAGATACAAATGATGTATAACCTTCATCATGGAAGCCTTGATCCTCAGAACATGGAAGTTGCAAAGGAACTTCATGCTCAGATATTCTCAATTGAGCATGCTTTG